GTTAACGTATTACCCTGTCTCTTATACACATCAGATGTGTATAAGATATTATTATTATTATTATTATTATTATTATTATTATTATTCATAGCTCGGACACTGTGTCGTTATAAACCTCCTTTGAAAGGAAGGGAAACCGTCACGCGTATTGCTTGGCCTTCACTCTGTAAAAGAGCTATCGATAGTTGATCTGCTAATATTTACATTTGTGACGGAACACAAAATGATAACTACCTTCTGACATGATCATTTTCGGCCGACAAGGAACGATTAAATGTAATAAAATGTGATGGCCAAATCAATAATCATTCCTAATGACAATCCATTACGCTATAATAGTAGTTTTAGAGAAAATTGAAATGTTGAAAATTCAAAGTGACTGTGACCCTTTGGCCATAGTACTGCTAAGATAGCATCATGTCCCTTAACCGACGTAATTTTGATGTGCGAGGGTTATTCGAAGAGCGAGCCTTCAACCGGATATGAACCGAGGTCTTCAACACAAGAACCAGCAGCATTACCTCTAGGCCAGACGCTCGAATACTTTTATGATGAACACTATCTTACCAATTGTTTCCAACAAAACAGTTAAATTTACTTCAATATCTTACTAATACGTCATTTATCTTAAAGGTAATTGAAGCATCATCCAGAGATTACGAACTACCGACGGTAAGATGATTACTCTGTGATAAAACCCATAGAAATCAAAAACAAAAAACGTTGAATTGCCTGATAGACTGATATTATTAATGTTATAAACTTGGTAAAAAAAATATTTATTAATTAATTATTTTAATTATTTCCACAATATGGAAAGGAGTATCCATAAATCGTGAGCTGATTATATTTTGTACGAGAAGCTGTATTAAACAAATGGAAGGGCCTCCTATTTCAACGATTGTTAAGTAATTAAAGCTATGTAATGGTTGCTGATTGGTTTGTTGTTTTGTTTATCGTGATTTTATTTGTGATACGTTATTAGGATTTGTTTTGCTTTTTATGTGTTTCATTCCAAAATAAGTTAATCTAAATAAAGAAATATATACTTTATCTCTAAGGTATCCGAAGCAACTCCAAGAGATGGAAAACATTCGGTAAGAAAACGTGGCATTTATTATGTAACGTTAAACGTCAAAACATTAGTTTATTTGTCATACCTTTTAGTTTTAATGCTTTAATATTTTAATATTGTGTTTAACTTAACCATAAATTATTGTTATAATGTCTTTTTTAAGTGAGCAATTGGCAAAACAAATTTCATTGTTCACTTGTTCGATCGATGACAATAATTTTTGGTTCTCGATTCATACTATTAGCTATAATAGAATATGACCAGTACATAAGTGCTGACATAAATGATATAGAAAATTGGAATATAAGTGCAACCTGTCTAGGCTCGTTTGATTCTAAATGTAAAAGAATTTGTGTCATTTCAATAAAAATAAGTAGGCCTAGTTTATAATGATTAACTTCTTAGTTCACTGGATGTACGCCAAAACCGGCCACCTAGAACTAGCTTGTAGCACCTTGGATTACAAAACGATTGCACTTAACTCTTGCGAGTTGAACACTGGCTGCACAACTGTCACGACAACCATAAATATTAAAACTTTACATTCTTATTTTTCAGGCTTATACGGCGTACAAAGGTGAGCCGAACTGAGGATCGAAACGAACTGAGGATGAAGATTATGATCTTGTTGGTACAAATAACCTTCCTATTACCTATTAGTACGTTTTTGTTTGATGTTGTGCCTGATGTTGTGCCTAACACTGGCAAATGTTACTCGAATTACAATGAAAACCGAGTAATATTGGATATTAATCGTGTGTTTTATATGGACACTCGTCTAAGCCAGAATCCGCTGGTTTTTTTCTCACGCGACACCGACACGGGCGATCGCGACACGGGCGATCTCTCACGCGACACGGGCGATCTACAAAGCCAGGGGCGTTTCATTGGACTTAAACATGAGTTGTGCAAATGTAGGTTGAACTTGACTATCTATTTTAATTTTGAC